GCAGCCCAGGAGAGGAGGGTGGTGGGTGCAGGGCAGAGGCCACATCAGCCGCTAGCAGCCGGGGAAGGGGAGGTCCCCGTGCCGGTGTCCCTTTGCCCAGGGAGGGAACCGATGGTGCCCCCGAAAGGAACGTGCCCCTTGTGGGAATGGGACGGGTCGAATGGCAAAATGCAGGGTTGGTGTCCATCTCTGCCATGCAGCAAGCTCTGTGGGGCCGGGTGGTGGGTGCAGGGCAGAGGCCACATCAGCCGCTAGCAGCCGGGGAAGGGGAGGTCCCCGTGCCGGTGTCCCTTTGCCCAGGGAGGGAACCGATGGTGCCCCCGAAAGGAACGTGCCCCTTGTGGGAATGGGACGGGTCGAATGGCAAAATGCAGGGTTGGTGTCCATCTCTGCCATGCAGCAAGCTCTGTGGGGCCAGGACTAGCGCCACTGGAAAGCAGCCAGGTGCAGGCAGGCCTGCAGCTGGGGGCAGGGAGCTGGTGCCTTTATATCCGGGGGGGGTGGGGATGTACTGCTCTCCCTTGGTGGGTGCCTCGTAGGACCAGAGCTGGGCATGCAGGTCCTGGCCCCCTCACACGCCCACCCTTCTGGATCAGCGACCGGGCTGGCTGAGGGGGAAGGGCAAAGGGGGTGTAACGCTTTCCCGGGAGCATAGGGCTGGGGGACTGCATGCAGGGTTCGTGCAAAGCCGAGCAGCGAGGGCTGGGGCATTGGGTGGGAGGTGGGTGTTACCGTTTGGGGGCAGCGCTCTCTCCAGCGCTCTGGGCTGCTCGTGGGCGCAATTCCCCTTTAGCGCCCACCTGACCCTGTGTCCCTGCAGCGCCTGCTACCGCGCAGCACTCCGGCGAGACGCGCCCTGTCCCAGCGCTGGCTGGCAGGCAGCTCACCCTGGAGTGCCCTGTGGACACTGACCCGCCGCCCCGCATCGAGTGGCGCCGAGGGGGGTCCCTGCTGCAGGTGTGTATCTGGGGGTCTGCTGGCTCTCGCACATACCAGGCTGGGTGTAACTCCCCAACCCGCCTCCCTGGCCATTTCAGGGCCGGAGTTTCCCTCCCACTCTCAGTGGCTCTGCCAATGCGCCAGGTGGCTTCCCGTCACTGCACAGCGGGGGCCTAGAGCCGCTGCCCATGGGATCCCTGCCCGGTGCCTGTGTCCCTTGGATCGGCCGCCCCCGCCTGGCTCGGCTCCGGCTGCTCAGTGGTGTGATGCTGCCTTTGGGAAGTTGAACCAGGGCCACTGGACTTGTTGCTCGTCAAACCTGCGGTCGGATGCACCCTGCGGCCAGGGCGGTGCTGCTCATGGGCTGTTTGTCTCCGGGTGCCGGCAGGAGGATGCCCGCGTGCGATTTCGGGCCCAGGGGCGCTTCCTTCAGATCCAGGCTGTGGGAGCGCCTGACGGCGGAGAATACAGCTGCACGGCCAGCAGCGCGCTGGGGAGAACCAGCCTGCGCTTCCATGTGGAGATCCACAGTGAGTAGAGCCACAGGGGCCTCTGGGGAAGGGGGAGCCTCCTGGCTCAGATCCTCAGGCACGCTCAGTCACTGGCCTCCATTCCTGGCAGTGGAGCTGGGCTGACTCAGACTCCCCTGGCTCTCACGCTCCCTCCTGGAGCTGGGGTGGTGGGATATGCCGTGGGACAGGATCCTGTTAATCCATAGGCTGTCGTCCCATAAGGAGAGGGCTGGGTAGGCTCTTGGATTCCCTCCATTTACACATCTCCTGCCATTGGCTTGGTTAATCCCTGTGTAGCATGTTCTGTCCGTCTCCGACCTGCTTTACCTCCTGTGTTCACACCTGAGTCACCTTGCCCGTTGCTGTGGCCTTGTTCTTGGTCCATGGCTCCTCGGGTGTTCCCTCCCCTGGCCTTGGTTAGCTCAGTCCCTCTGCTCCTGGCCCATTTCCCTGTCTTCGGTAGCACAGACACTCATCGCCGCTGGCTCATCTTTGCCTCCCTAACCCTGGCTTCTGAGAAATGAGGCCTCCCACAGGTCTATTACTCATGTCAAGCCAGGCCAATGTAGGAGCAAGTGAAAGGAGGAGGGGCTTCAGATCCCCCCAGCCCCAGAACATTGGAACCCCTCCAAATGTCTTCTTCCTCCCCGGCCATGGCACCAGGCGAGAGGAAGGGTGCTGGGTGCTGCTCCTGGAAAGGGGGTGCCTGAGAGCAGAACAGCGAAGCACGAACTCCGTAACTTCTCGTACTGTTACGTCCAGTCTGCCCCCTGGGGTTGTTTTGTTGCAGCTGTCCCTGTGATAAAGCCAGGCCCCTTGGCTGTGAGTGCCACTGTGAATGAGTCAGCTCTGCTGCCCTGCAAGTCCGAGGGACTGCCCACACCGCTGCTCCTGGAAAGGGGGTGCCTGAGAGCAGAACAGCGAAGCACGAACTCCGTAACTTCTCGTACTGTTACGTCCAGTCTGCCCCCTGGGGTTGTTTTGTTGCAGCTGTCCCTGTGATAAAGCCAGGCCCCTTGGCTGTGAGTGCCACTGTGAATGAGTCAGCTCTGCTGCCCTGCAAGTCCGAGGGACTGCCCACACCGCAGATCACATGGAGAAAGGATGGCCGGCTCCTGCTGCCGGCCGGGAGC